ATTTGAAATACAATTGTTTTTTATAGAAATTAAAGAAATAGGAATCGGGAAAGAATGATTGCTCAGAGTTGACATGTGTGCAAATAAAATATATTAAGAATATTCATACAAAAAAGAAGTAATTTTTAATGCGAATAAATAATTCTAAATTGTAGATATCATATTGTTATAATTTTCCGTAATTGGTTAAAAAATCATTGAACGTTTAGACGAAAGAAAGTGTGAATAATACGGGAAAGACAAGTAATCTCATAGGAAAACTAAACTCATGGAAGGAGGGAGATACTTCTTTCGTTCATAAATTATAATATTCGTGGGCCACCCCCGCCATTAAGTGAATGCGTGTTTCCCGTCGCGCGGTGGCTACGCGAAATTCATTTACGGAATTAATACCGCGGATTTGCTAAACGAAGAATTACTGGGTGCTCCGTGTCCGCCTTAATTGCGTGAGCAATATTATTTGCACCAGGTTAGAAACTGATATTTTATACTGTTATTCTTTCAAATTAACGGGATTATAATCAGTTAATATATTTAATCTGTCCTCTGCGTTCGTTTATTGAATGCGAGATAAATTTCATCTCTAATGTGAGTTATTTTCTTGAAAATCGTATCTCGTAGAATGTTTTTTTTTATACGAATAAAATGTTTATTATTATTTGCAATAAATTAGTCAAAATTCATAAATTAAAAGGTAAAATAATACACGTAAATAAATAATATTTTAAAAAGCATAAATTAATTATATGCTTTTTTAAAAGTAATAATATTTTAAAAAATATAAATATATCTGTACATTTAACTGTTTAGTTTTACATTATACATGTATTAATTATAATCAATAATTATATATATGATCATTATACATATACAATGAATTATAAATATCATTTTTAGAAGTGATAAATGATGTAATACCACGTGTAAAGTTTCATTTGCACTGCGATTTAATTTTCCGGAACGCTGGACCCGCAGATGCCGTTCGCATATCCGAAATCCTCATTTCATCCCAGGGCGATCCTTTTCACCTTCTCGGTCCGTAATAACGTAGCAAAAGGAGCCTGCGTATTACGTCGTTTGATTAATTAATTTATACCGATGAAGCGCCGAATTATAAACCCCCTGAGGCAACCTTTCCCATTGCCTTGCTTCTTTCGTGAAGGAAACGAAGTAAACAAACGATTTCGTCCGCTTTTTCAGCTGTCATTATACACTTAGTGATATTAACATTAACTATGATGACGGTTGCGCAGACAAGCAGATAATTGCATCGTGTAAATTTATTAAACGGCCTGACTGTTATTTCACACAAAGATACGTTTGAACTTTTTGAATTTGAAAGTTATGTATTTGTATAACATATTATTTTTTAAGTTTCGTTCTCTTTTTCTAAATTAATACTAATACTTAAACATTTAATTCAATAAAATCAAATCTAAATTTAATTTATTTTCACATCAGTGTAAACCAATATTTTCAACAAAACTAATACTGTTTTAAATGTAAAATATTTACACGCGTATTGTAACAATTATAACTTTAAGATTTTAAATATAAAAAAATATGAATAATTAGATGAAAATTTTACGTTACATATAAGTGAAAGTTTTAAACTTTTTGTCTTTTAAATTATTTTAAAAGATACCATATAGTTGTTCTTTTATTAATAATTATAATAAAAATGATTTTACAAAGAAGAAGAGTTTTGAAATATTATGATAAGAAACACAAAGAGATCGTCTCCGCTGTGCCGTTGAACACGATTCTTGAGATAACAATGAATAATTGAGAAGGAAGACTCCGAAGGGAAGAGACACGCAAAGAGCGCCTAGTACAAATAACTATTTTCTGTGTTAGAAAGGAAGGAGGAGCATCGTATTCACTGGAGGCATGAAGGTATTAGTTTTTGCGAGTGTGAAACTCGAGGGACGAGTTGCATCCACGATGCATCTCCGTGGCTGCGCCGTATTTCACTGCGTGAGGTTTGCAAATTCACATTACAAGGAGAGGATCTGTTGTTAGTTTTGGTAGGGCAAGGGTGTACAGGGTGACGAGAAATATAGGAGTGTTCGCTACCGTTATAAACGACTGCAACAACTGCAGTTGATAGTAACAGGTAGAGTCACCGATGTTACCCAGGGCGAAATGATGTTAGTATCAAATAGAATAACCATGTACAAGTGTTGTGCGGAGCAAAAGAGAAAGGTGCATAGTAAATTAACACACACACATCCTGGATTTTTTTTCAATATTAAGTATTTATTACATACAAGCATTTTTTACAATATGAAGTATTTGTTTCTTTAGACATGACTGATGATATTTAGCATTTTGTTTCGTTATTGTATATTTAGAAACATTCTCTCGTACTCTATTTAATTATCATTATTATTATAGGTATTCTTATAGAATAGTTTTAATATAGAGTCTCAACCAAATCTAATAAAAATAGTATAAGTGTACACGTGACGCAGGGATAATATACGGTGTCCAAACGGTTAATAAATATTGTTGAAAAAGAGAAGAGAACTAATATAAATAAGTTTGATACAATAAGTAGTAACGAATTAGGCGTTAGGTTCGTTACAATGTTAAAATTTTACAAGACAAACGCAGAGACAATTTCTCGTGTGAGAACGGGCGGTAAAATGTGTCAATAAATCTGTCACTTTGCATAGTCTAAAGCTGTATAGATGCTTTTCCTGTTTCCTATTCTCATTTTAATGGCCGAGATATTTTCAGTATATGAACAAGTGACTCGCGACGGCAATTCTGTACAAACACGCTCGTTCTAACAATTCTCGATAAAAATATTAATTGTCTATAAGAAAATATATCGATCATTCGCGGATTCGAGAGAATCTCTTCCGACTCTCGAAAAATAAGTCGCAAATACAAACAAGAAAAATCTTAGATTTAAACAAAAACGATAACAAGAAAATTTCAATTTTTACCACCAATTTTGCAGCTCGATGATTCCTTTACGCCGATTATAATAAAATGTAAGTAAAATCAAGAGCGAGGGGAAAAAGGGAGATAAATCACGCGCGCAAATGTACGAGAAAAATTCAATAACAAATGATCTGTACACTAATTCTATTTTTTTCTCTAGTGCCGATAAACATTTTTCTCGATCATATATTCCGAATAAAATCAGGCTAACAAAAGTGTTTATTTTTTTATATTTCATTATAAATAATCTATCGCCGAATTCTATGTGATATCGTGAAATAGGGCGAGCGCAAAATATAATGCTATATTCCACATAATATTTTTATGTCACAAGTAATGACAAGTAAAACTCGCACCTTTTAGACGTTGTAGCGATATACGCTCCCACGTTACACATAACGTTGCAGTATCGATCATATTCACCTTTGTCGAATAAAGTGCAATTTAATCCCATCTGTAACACTTCCGGTGTAACAATTCTTACAATTAACGTTACTAGATCGTCACTCCGTTAACTTATGCAGCGGCTATCTCACAAAGCAATCAGCATTATCGTCATCGTCATCATCACAGCTAGAAAATTTATTCACGATTCAACAAAAAAAAAAAAAAACAAAAAAACGTAACAATAGTGAAGTCTAGCGGATACCTAGAGTATATACCAATGTTAAATAGGCCCTCTAAATGAAATACGATAAAAAGAAGAAAAGAAAAAAAAAACAGTAAGATTGCTTGACTAGTGAGCGCACGCCCCGAAATCTGGTATGGAAGAAAAGTGTTTTCTTTTTCTCTATCTGTGCTACTTTTCCCCATGTCATATCCGCAGAATGTCTCTTACCTTATACGCGATAACGCGCTTAGATCCGCTTGTGAAATTATTATAAGATAGTACTCGCTACGCTATCTCTTATATATGTTAGGGACATTCTCTAATCCGTCGTTTCGACAGATACATTCTTAGCATTTGATCCGACTCCTATTTTATCCTTCTTCTTCTTTTATATCTTGTGCTATTCATTCGTCGGTTATTCTCCGCGCAATTCTCGCTTTTCTCATCTCTACTGATTAACGCCTCAAAAACCTAGCTTGTAATCTACACATATATATTGTATATGTGTGTGATAAGGGCGAAATCGTATGTGTATATATGTATGTATGTCTGCATGTATATGTGAGAGAGAAAATAACTTTATTATGTCGATTTGTTATCGTAAAATACGTCCGTGTATCCGAAATTGTTGTGTTACAAACAGGCCTCAACCCCTTCCTTTAGAAAGTTACATTTGTCTAATAGCGTACTACGACACACAGATTGAGTGTCCACACTTGCTGTTGCATAATATTAATTAACATTATATATTATTTTACACTGCCTTTTTCCCGGTGACGACGCTTAGAACTCGGCATGATCGTGGGGAGCCTGAGGATGATTTTGCTCCTCCCTCACTTTACTTAGATATCCCCTTTACATACGATACATTGCGCGACGGCGGTTATTTACATTATCATAAACAACAACGTCTCGTTCCGAATATAGCTACTGCTCGTCATGAGCAACTTGACTATCCGTTACCTAATTGCTCTTCCTGTGTTCGTCCGGGAACATTTAAGAGATATCTTATGACAATAAATCTGCGAACAGAAAAGGAAACGGCCATTTATGTCCATTTCTACTAATGTAGATTATATTATAACTTTCAATTTAATTCAATCTTTCTTTAATTCTTAAAACTAAAAAAAGATAAAAAGTATGGTAATTAAGATTAAAGTTAATCTATTATTCAGAGCTTCGATTAAAATATATAAAAGTCTATTTAATTATGATAATTTGCGATTTTTATAACACAGTCTTTTTTTTTTTTGTTAAAAAGATCCAATAATAAGGACAGATGCTGTAACAGATCTTGGCTTATATACCTGGTACTTGATTGTTGTCTTGTGGCTTATTGATGAAATTGTCCTGGAACGGATTGACATTGGCATTAGCAGGAGTGGGCACGAACCCCATTGGGGTAAACGGTATCGCCGCCGGGTTCAGATTGGAGTTGAGGGTATCTTCGTTCGCCAGATTGGGTGTCAGTTCGAGAATAGGGCCGGTATCGTAGCCACTACTGTTATTACTCAGAGTGTCGAAGTCCGACAAGTCTAACAGGTTGTTGGTCACGTTGTTTTGCTTGCTACAAAACGAGCCAAATAAAAAACATACAAAGACTAAGTTGACAGCCAGACAGACAGATTAGGGACTACGACTTAAGCGACTATTCACGACCACTAACACGGAATCGCCTAAGTTAGCTAAGCCGACTGCGAGCCGATTCGTTAAGATCTCCAGACAGTCGAATCACTAAAACGAAACGGAGTCGAATTTCATCGGAACATAGTTCGCGATTCTAGATACATCTAAAAACGCCATTAACTGAACGATATAAAGCTAGGTAAAGATAAATAAATAACGTTTCGGATAAATATAAAGCACTTATGCGTCAATCATCCGTCATCAATATAACTGCTGCACAAATTGTAGATTTTGAATGCCTCGAAAGGCAACTATTTTAAAATAACTATAATACATCTATTATAAGCGATTAAGTCGGATAGAAATTATTTTTATGCGTAACTAGTATGCGTACTAACCGAGGTAATCCACAACCTTTTGCGGTCCTTTGTGGTATCCAATATAAATCTTTCGTCTGCACTTGGTCGAATAACAAATTGTTGGAATACAACTAGTATATTACACTATACAGTAAGTTATTCTGTCGAGATGGATCGCAACAGGTTTCTGTTTAAATAACTACGGGAACCAGTTGATTAAATCGATATAATACGTCAACTGTATAACTATAAATAACCATAGCTTGCTAGAACATATTACAGCAAAACAGCAAATACAGATCTAATTACATAAAAAATTGAATCACATTCGACCACTTCGTCGGATTAAGATATGTAAAGAAGAAAATTCATGCCGCGTTTGGTCTTCCTCTTTCCTTTTTCTTGCCTATACGAGTACCTCTGTGTAGGATTCGTGGATGTGGTGTGCATGAAAAGATGTTTTCTCACGGAAAAATACTATATCGAGAAACATGTGGAAGTAAATAGTACATAGCAAAAGTAGGCAGTAAGTTGACATATACCGCGCTTGATGGTATACAATACACAAGCATGAGGAACGCAGACAATCATTGTGCAAGGAAAAGAACAAGCCACACCATATCAATGTTATTTAACATGCACTGGTGATTTGCAGAGTTTGTTGCGAAAATTAATCGCACTTACGGTATACACGACGACTCAATAAATGGAAGAACACACTTTTTAGTACCTAATTGGAGGAAAGATGAAAGAGAGATACTCAACAAAGATGATGTTATGTTACATTGCGGGAACATTACAGCATTGTATTATGCATTTTGTAACGTAATTGGAATGTATTGCTACCGCTTTTATAAAAGTCATGTTAACATTACTCATCCTTGCTGAGCTGGTGTATTGTGAAATCACAAAACGAAACGTTTCGATGACTCATTAAATTTATGCTGCTTTTGTCTCTCTTTACATTATATACACTGAGATTTATTTGTCGTGTGATTTAACACTAGATATATTTTGCAATATTATTAATATTTTTCTTAATGGTTTTTTGTACGGTATTATGACGTTTATGCAACTCGTTCACATAATACCTAATGACGATCGAAATACATATGCAATTCCCGATATCTTTGATAACCCTAGCTAAAAATAGTATGTAAATTTACTGTCAGTACATGGCTGAATATCAATTATAAAATATATGTAACTATTACAATAGGTGATACAATATACACTCTCGTACACTCTCGTTATCATCGCAATATTGTTAGATCAGATGATTTAGTATTGATTAATAAGTTGGTAATCGTGCAACTAATCATATGGTAAACGGTAAATCGCAGTGGCGTGCTTATTATGCTCGTCAACCATTATTCTGGCTACTTTTGCAATGTACAATACGCGTGGGTTACTCAGAATATTTGCATGAAGCGATAAATGTTCCGTGAAATTAATGTTGGTAGGTAGTTTCTTCCTATAGGAGTTTCAGGAAAGCGCAGTATATATATATATATGTATATATAAATTTTTTTACTAAATAACTGTTTATAATAATGTGTACATATGTATACGTATATAACTTTGAAACTTAATTAATTCACTTTAATAATTAACTGACATTACAAGACGTATTTTAAACAACATAATTCATGTATATACAAAGCTTTTGACAATAAAGCCTTTAAGAATTTTACATAGCATTTAACAATTTTACATTTAATCAGAAAATAAAGGTTCAAATAATTGCTATTTCTAAATCTGACAGAATCTTTCTTACATGTGTGTACAAATTTAAAATAATCGAAATAATCAATCGGTTCGTAGTGCGATAACGTTATCTATCATGAATTAGAACTTTTATCACACCTATTTACAAATAAAATCGCGCACGCGTACATTATGTTTAATTTAATACGTTTATTAGCATGGCATGAATTCTGTGCTTTTAAATTGTATAGGGCACTCAAGAAATCTTTATACAGAAAGTTTTAAATCTTGAATGATGCCATAGTAATATTTGATTTCTTGATTTTCTGTAACGCGAAGATGTTTTTCTTTATTACATATTACGTAAATAAAAATTCTACATGCAATATTTAAAAGTTGATCCTCTTACTGCGAGTAAGTCAGCTGTCTTACATGTATGATATTACATATATACGGTTTGGTTTTTTCTGATTGAGTAGCTACACGATCGACCTTGCTTTCGATTATATCAATAATCAGTCCATTTTAATTGAATAATATATTGGCTAGTATCGTGCAATTACTTATGCCCTGTAAAAATGCAAGTAATCGGCATGTTGCACTTCACCTATCTGTTTCATAATTATTGTTCCTGATTAACGTATCGGAAGAATGCTCAAATTTATTTTTCTTATCATGCTTACAAGATACTTTCACAATTACGCAAAAAAGTTAATTTTTTTATGTTATATTTTTGCTTTAATATATTTTAATATGTATTTTTTGATCGTATAATGATTGAATTCTAGCAGCGTCGCATCTAAAATTGATCTTGGGCGCTTCTGAATTACGTCGGAAATTACATGTCTCGATGCTCAATTTAAATGCGCGTTACCGAAACAAGCTTCGCTATTACTATAGTATTATTGTCCATCGATCTAACGAGAAGAGACGCATAATTTTGTTTATAATTTTAACTCTCGGTCGTCGACAGTATAACGCGTTTACGATTCCGTGTTTTAGAATTGGTATACTTACACAGTGGCATTGTCCAGTGTAATCGATTGACTGTTGATACCGTTCCCGTGATTCGTATGATGACCATTCAACTCTCCTTCAACGTTACCTTGATTATTATCCAATACAATTCTATTTTCGTTAATGCCATTGCTATGTGTCGTGCCATTGTGCACTATGTCTGATGCAAGTACGCTGTTTTCCGTGTGATGCGCTCGTTGCTCGTCGTTGATGAACTGCTGAGTCGCTTCGGAAATTAAACTGGCTGTCATGACGTCGTCGCCTCTACTATCCGGTACTGATTTATTTTCGTCGGTAGGACTGTCTTCCTTTAACTTGTCGCCATCACCACTCTCTCCCTGCACATATTACATACGGAATTATTTTAAATTTGAATTTGATTTATTTTAAATTATTTATTTTAAAATTGAATTTATTTATATATAATTCAGTGTGGATAAATTGCTTCGATATGATTAATTTGAGCAATCTTTTAATTTAATCGAGAATTTAATGTTACCTTGCTAGATGTATTGGTTTGATTTTTGCCTCTAGTTCTAAGCATGATCGCCTCAACTCGTTTGCGTCTGGCATTGCGCTCTTCTTCTTCCCTCTTAAGCTTCTCAGCCATTTCAATTCGTTGTCTATAATTCAAATACGAATATATTACTTCACCGCGCAATTTATTACAAATTTTTAAATAGGGAAGAGAGAAAGATTCTTTAAACTAACTTTTCTGCTTCTTCTCTTGCTTTACGTTCTGCTTCTTCCTTCTCTTGTTTCTGGCGAGCTTCCTCTTCTCTTTTTCTTCTATCCTCTTCTTCGCGACGTTTAGCTTCTTCAATTGCCATTTGCAATCGCTGTTCCTCTGCCTGTCGAGCTTCGTTAGCTAAGCGTATAGTTTCTTCTTCTAGACGACGTTGCTCTTCTTCCTCCGCGCGTAATCTTTCAGCTTCTAAACGCGCTTCTTCTTCCTGTGGAAATTGTCACATATAAGCTAATAGATAAAAGCCAATTCAATTTAATATTAAATCGATTTGTAGATAGTACCTGTCGCAGGCGTTCTAATTCCGCTTCTCGTTCCGCTTGTTCTCGAGCTAATCTCCTACGTTCTGCCAGAGCGGCTTTTGCTTCCTCTTCAGTGGTGATTCTGATTTTCGCAATCATGGAAGCTGTAAAGCGAATCATTAATAAAAATAGACATCCGTCATTAGCAATCGTTGTCAAAAGCTTGTGAAAAACGATCGTTTGACCTCGTTAAAATTTCGATTAATCATACCTGACATGTCAACCTGTTCATCCACTTCACCCTCAAGCTTGGTTTCAATGGTCTCCGGCGATTTTTTCTCTTGCTTGTTCTCCTCCTTTTTAATGATTTTCGATTCTTCCGTGATAGCACCCGATAAATTCTCTTGCATTAAATTAGTTTCATCTTTGACTTGTTTGCTTGCCGACACAGGTTCTGCCGCCTTTGTGTCGTTGGTTACGGATTCAGTAACGTTCACTTCCTGTTATTAAAATTGAAATTAAGATTTAAGTATATGTTTTTTCACCTCATAGGAAAAATTATTTTTAGACCAAAGAAATGTTTATTTTATTTTATTTTTTTAAATACAAAACGATGTTATTTATTCCAAGATGTAGAATAGAAATTTACCTGTGTCTTCTCGCTACCCTGATCCTTCTTCTCCTCGTTCTTGTCCTCTGATTTCACATTTTGCGCCTCTTTACCCTCATCCTGCTTTATGATTTCCGCGTTAGTTTCGCGGATGAGTGGTGCGTGCTCAGCTCCAGGGCTCTGCAGAGGTGTCGCCTTCGGTGTTATTCGCGGTGATGACTTGGCATTCTTGATTAATTTCTCCGTTGGCTTCCTCACTTCCGCAACTTTGGGTATAGAAGGTTTCTTTGGAGTGCTATGGACCTTTGGCAGTGGTGGCTTTGAATCCTTCGTTAATTTCGCATCACCCACCAGATCTGCAATAACGAGAATAACCGGGATATTTCCTCTCCTACGTGCACAAAATCTTCTCGGATACATACAGTATTTACATGTGCAATTCTATCGTTAAAAATGATATATATATACAAGAAATTGAGAATAGAGATTTAAACCAGGAATCTCATTAAAAAAAAATAATAAAAATAAAATTCACATAGAAATACAAATTATTCAAGAGAAGAAGAGATATATGCGGGAAAAAAATTTCGAATGAAGTCGAGATGTCTTTATACATAATTTCACTTCGTCGTATGTTTTTAAATGTGCTCTTAAATATGCCGCGTATTCGAGTCCTTTCGGAACATTTAAATTCTAAACACAAAAATACGTTTATCCCGACCTAATTTACTTATCCCTGATGACAATTAATCTTTGTCTCTCTCTCTCTTCTTTTTTTTCCTCGCCGATCCTCGGCGAGCTCGAAGGATCGGGAGAAGGGGAAAGTAAGATAAGCATGCTCACTGTGTTTCTCTGTGATCGAGACACCGGTACCGGCGATAGAAGCAGGCCGCGGTCGGCGCGACGCGGCCGTGCGGGTACGCAGATTGACATTACTGCTGCCCACGCTGCTGGCACTCTGCTGGCTCATGGAACTGTGCGGTCGGGACGGGCTGTTGGGTGTCACTTCGCCGCTGCGGATACCTACGCGCACCCACCCAAGATAAGTAATCTGTTGATCCTTGCGCTGGAGACTGATTGAACGCGATCGCGCGAATCTCTCGGTGAAGAGAAGCACGGCGATTTGCGAGCGAAGTCTCGCTTTTACTCTTCAATGCGTTTTTCGCAACACGTGTTCGCGCTTGTAACTTGTCGTGATGAAACGCAACGTGTAGCAGGCGCACATCGCAAGAAAAACGCCGCAAGAAAACCGAAACGCAAGCACCACCACCACCGACCGATTTATAAATGCGATTCGTGAGTGTACAGATAAGAGAAAAAGAAAACGATTGAAAACAAAAACAAAAACAAAAAAAAAGAAAACCAGAGAGTAAGCGAATATGAATACGAGAAATTAAATTATAATCACGCAAAATAAGAGGGTGAAAAATAGTAATTAAAAGTGAATCGACTAGGAATAAATTGCACACTAAATACAAATATATAATATATAATACTAAGTGATTTGCAAGATAAATCGTAGCGATATAATAAGAAAAACGTGCAGCTTACCAAAATGTTAGCTCATACCTTCACCCGTGGTACCGAAAAACCGCTGAGAGATCTTCCTTAGGAGTGTTTTGTTAATCAATTCAGAAGTCAGAAGACCGGTTGCATCATAATAAGTAATACACTGGCGATGTTTAATTAAATTTTCTTCATTTGCATTATTAATTTAGTTGATTCTTAATTAATATAGACTGCTGATGCAACCGACTCTTAATGTTAAAAGTGGCAAAAGAGTCTGCTCCAGAATGTAATATTAAAAAGTATAGAGAAACTTTCGAAAATCGGTTAGTTACCGACGAGAAAGTATATAACGGATATAAAAGTATATCAATGTGTTGAACAATTAATATTCTGCAGCTTGAAATTAGAAGGAAGGAAAACGTTTCTCCTTCTATCTTCACGCCGTGAAGTGAAGTTGGTCGTCCCAATTGACTCACAAAGACTCCTTTTTACACTTATTCATGCATGTGTGCACCCAACTCTGATCACAGTGACATTCTCTTGTTAGACAGCGAGTGCATTCATGTGTATTGTAGTTTTTATTTAATACTCTGATTTATGAGATCACTTCCCATTCTGTTGAAGACCGATCTGGCTTACAAAGCTTGTCGTTAAGCTTATATCTAGTTCGATTGTATACAGCGACAAGAGTCAACGAGAACATTAGTAGTACAAAGCGGAACAGGTGATTAATTACTCCGAGAAAAGCTACGATATTGCTTGGAGAAAGTTGATATTACACCGCCTAAGAGGGTATTAAAAATATTAGAATATTGCGGATCAATTTATTATACAAAAAAAATATATATATAATTTATTACTGAGCTATATCACTTGAGCTATCGTTTAATCGACTTCTCGTCTGTAACCTACGATTAAAGAAAAAAAAAAAAAAAAATTTATACTTTGCTAGGAGGATGGAAGAACTATCGATTTACTTCGCGAAAGATGTTGATCTTTGTTACATATGTACAGAAGCTCGATTGTGGTACTCGATTCGAAGTAGTCGAGTTGAGTGCACGGCCACACGCACTTACCTTGCTGTTGCTGGGCCTGCTGGTGCTCGCGGGCCTTTCGGCGCAGTCTTTCGGCGCGGGTGGGTCTGGGCATAGGCGCCGCGCCCGGCAGCGTGCCCATGCTACGCGAGTTATCAGAGCGTTTTAGGCTCTTGGCTCCCCCGGGCGCGGCCAAGTGCGACATGCTGCGACTCATGCTAGAAGCGCTCTGCAGAGGCTGGCTTTGCCGTTGCTCCGTCAGCGTGCCGAGTTGCTGTTCAGCCGCGCGTCCCTTCCTAGGCTGCGCCAGCTGGTCCAGCCTGGACATGGAGTAAGTCCTACCTGGCGAGCGTGTGAAGGCCTTGGCGCTGGAGCTGCGTGCCGTCGACGGCGGGCCGTCACGCGGGGACGGTATCGTCGGCATGAGGTCGGTGCGTCTCCTGTTCACACGTAGGTAAACCGAGGTCGGGGTACTGGGCGTGCCACCGTCACTATCATCACCTGCAAAGAGTCTCGCTTAGGGTATACCGCCCGTATTGCGAAACGAGCGACGTCCGTTGATTCGCGCGCGGATTACGCGGCGCGGTTCGCTCGACGGGGAGAGACACGCTCGAGTAAAGGATCTCTTTGACGCGCCAACCACGGGGTTCGCATCCAGATTTTCATTTCTTTCTTTTCTCGCTACTTCCTTACGGTTGTGTTGCATTGTTGTTCATGCTGTGGCACGTGGAAATGGCACGGAGCAGTACACTGAGAGAAATTCTGTTTGGAATTGCATGGATGTGGGATACATTTTGCTCGACATTTGAAGAGTTAATGTATTTTTTTATGAGCAAGTTAAATAAAGAGAAGAATGAATAATAAAAGAAAAGATTTATTTAAAAAATATTCGTCTCTCAATGTACGCAAATGTATATTAAAGCGAATGTAATTCAATATTAACGTACGTAATCAATGTACGTGCTGCGTAAATTTTGTATGTAAAGGGGAAGAAGTAATACGATGTCTTTTGTATAAGCAACACATTAGAAACATTCAATTAGAGGCAGTCAAACAACTTCTGAAATTACAAAAATTCTACGCAAGCAATGAACTTTATACTAGTCATGACGATTATAAGTCTATGCTACATTAATAATGACATAATATAATTGAGTTAGATTTTCTAGTTTATCCTAGTAAACACTTAAAAATAGTATTACCTTATTTTTTTTATTGCTAAACCGTTTTTTAAATTCTATCTATATAAATAAATTATCGTGTATAATTTCTAGTAAACTTATAGTTTAAGATATACTGATACGTATATATGTATCATGTTTTAATGAAACATAATAATGAAAGATTGATCGTGACTAATAATCGTCCGATTAGATCATAACAAGTTCACTACACAAGAAACAGCTAAAACAAGAACTAGTTAAAATTCCAAAATGCATATTGCAACTAAATGTTAATAGTAGTGTTTAGCGATCAGTTAGTGTTATAAGGGATAGCAGGGATCATACATGGGTAGACGAACTAACGACACACCGTTGCGTGATATTGGTTGCCACATGGTTTCACTTAGTGACTGAGATGTTTTTCTCGAGAAACTATAAAATCCAATCCTGTGATACCAATACCATACAATCGGGAAGGGAACGAATGTGCGCGGAATATGCTTTTACGGTGTTAAATGAACGTGACATGCGTCGATAGAGTATGTAGTGGAGTAAAAGAAAGATGTAATGGCGTAGAACACGATAGAGAGAGGGAACATCCCACGAGAGTGAGTGCTAAACAAAACAAGAGAGATAAAGGATTGACAATATTCATTCTCGAGACGAACAAAGATGGAACAGAAATCTCGCCCGGCTTTCTTGCAGACTTCCGAGACATCAGGACTCACCACTGGCAACCCGCTGAATCATGGGACGCCTAGTGTCGCTATCAGACTTATCATCGACGGCAAAGATGTCGGTTGTGGGGGGCAGAGAGAGGCTGGCTCTCTTATGCTTGGCAGGAGTTAAGGGGGGATCGGGGCTAGAATTCCAATTGAACACCTCGTACATGGACGAGGACATTCTCATATCTGCGAACAAACCATTCAACGCAACACAAATATTAGGTGTCCCGCGAAAAATTTTTTTTAAATGGGACAGGAGTATCGGGTGAGAAAGATATAGATGGGAAAATGTAAATATTAGACGTGAGTTAGATACAATGCGAATCGCACGCGTGTTATTCTCTTCCTTATTATACGTACTTTCCATACACCTCGCTACAGAACCATCACCGATAAGTATAGATTACAGCATAAGAAAGAAATATAGAGAGAAAACGTAATTCCTGTTAAAAATAACTTCCTGATTCCATAAAAGAGTATTTTATTCGTTTCCTTCCAGTGGGTTCCATTATGTTATTTTCACTAAGAAAAAAAAAAAAAAAGAGAAAATATATGTATTCGGAGAGGAAAGAATGTGGATGAAGATGTGATATTTCGCGGGATGAATACTGACCGAGCAATGTGTGCAGTGTAAAGAAGAAAGTAGAAATAAATAATGTCGCTTAAAAAGCAAAATTTGCGACTTAGATATCGCGGGGGTTTAAAACGTTCTCAGGACTCGCTGTGTAATCAATCTCAAGCTGAAAATACGTAATACGTGGATTCGGCTGTCGTTTAAAGGGACATTGCCACAAGTAGTGTACACAGAATAGGCTATAAAAAGTATAAACCTGCAAGTAAAAGAACCAAAAGTAAAATTCACGCTATGGGCAAGATCGCGTTACAGATTCTAACAGTGCTGAACAATCGTTCTTTCATGCTTCGCGGTGTCGTCTTCGCTGTGAGTAATTGAAATTGTGTGAGTAATTAAACTTCGTGTGAAGGCAATTTTATACGATTTATAGCGAATTTTTTTTTTACTTAATTTAATATCGGCTGCTCAACAAATGCAATTCAATTATTCGATCAATTTAATTCTAATTCTTTTTGCTTCAAGACATTCGATTATTTCATCTATTCCCATAATCATAGTATTAGACGTGATTGTTTTCAATTTCGCATTTCACGTTATAGTAATAATGCGAGAAATAGGCAGCAAAACGCGCTTGTAATTGAATTTTACGGCAAATCGTACATCGTAAAATTTTGTTTATCGTATCTCGCGCGAAGGAGTATCTCTCCCTACTTTGTACAAAGCGGTATCGAATTTGCCAAGAAAAATATATCGCTATCACAGATATCGGAAGCGATCGTGCGTAAAGTATAAGCTGCGAGAAGACTGCGAGAAGGCGCTTCCTTGTCGTTTATCCGGCTAGCTCTGAAAATCGACACAACGCGGAAATATTCTCGCAGCGCGACAAGGCGATTAAACGACACCATCCCTCGTGAATTCACGACAGAAGGAAGAACGATTGTAGGCTCGTACGACAAACATCAATCATCGATACATACGTCCGGGCGTTCGAGCAAATAAAGTGGAGCAAGCAATGGGGGGACGGGACGTGAATTCACCGACACGATTTATTTCTTTGGAACGCACCGTGAGACTTATCCCACCTCGAATAACAAACTTCCGAGCTGTAATCGCGAAAGATAATTTACGAAATACCACCGTATACTTAATTGCAATTGACGTTAATCAGCCGGTGCTCGTCTCTATCCTCGTCCTACGACGCGCGCATAGCTCACATTACGATTCGTACTCATACTCACACATTAGAAGAAAATCCGCTTCCGAGCCGCTCACCGTACGTGTTCGCATCGACAATCGTTTGTTGATTCGACACCCGACTGAATTTACGATAAATACTAATTTGCATTCTACCGGTGTATTGTGCAAAACAGATATCACGCGTGTATTATTCTCCCGCCGTATGCGAGATATAGAAAAATCATTAACGCTTTCAGCTGGGCTTCTTCATACGAGATATTCGTTATATATCACATATTCCAATCTCCCTCTATGATAATTAAATATAGCGAGTACTATATCATTTACTGATGATTAATCTTCAGCATTTTAATACTAACGATACGATTGAAAACGATTGATCATATTGATTAAAAAAAATAATATAAAAGATGGATTAAATCGAGATTAAAATTTAGTGTTATTTATAATACAAAAAATAAAATTATTGCATAAATATTCGTTGATTCAAATCTTATATATAAACTGAAATTATAGATTACGGAGAGATGAATTATGCCGAAAATTATTTGCCAAATTCTACAAGATTATCGTAGAATTTCCGAATGAAAACCATTCTCGCGGAATGTTCAAGCATGTACGCTCGAATTTAACATTACACGCTGAAAGGGTTAATTGAATTTCCATGTGCGACGTGCGATTAACGTGCTCGAATTAACGATCGCTCCTCTGCCGATTGTTCTTGAACGAATTTCGGTGAATTCGCGTAATTCGATCGACATCTGAAGAAATAAGATGACTGACCTTCACCTGGCTTTCGATCGATTCCACCGGCGGAAGTGGCCCGTTTTTTGCTGCCGTCCAACTCCCTCTCGGAGGATCTCCTCGTGAGAGGCTGTGCAGCGGAGAACATCATAACATTGGTCGTCGAGGTGGCCCTGCGGGTGCCCCAGAAGGTAGAGCCGCCGGTGTCGGCGGGCTCCAGCATTCGCGGCGTAGAGCTGCCGAACGCGAAGACGATGTGCGATCTCTCGTTCCTCTTCTTTGCCTCGATACGCGCTTCCCTCTCCTGATTCTTGCGGAGGATAGCCTCTCGTCTCTCCCGCTCCGCCTCGCATATCAGCCGTTTTCTCTCTTCGACTTGGTTTCGTCTGCGACAAAAAAAAAAAAAAAAAAAAAACATGTCCAGATATAATAATTTCCAGATATAAGAAT